TTCAGGACCCCCTGCCTAGGGAATGATGCTGCCCACAGTGGCTGGGTCCTCCCACACCAATTAATATACATAGGCATACTACATATATACCTGCAGGCCAACCTAGTGTAGACAGTTCCCCATTTAGTCCCTATTCCCAGGCGAATCTAGGTTGCATCAGGTGGACAAGCTACCCATCAGCACAGGCAGTGGGCAGGTCACCCCACCACCCATAGTGAGGCTGCTTGTGGAGGCCTCCCTTAGGTACGGAGATGATGCCTGTCTCATGAAGTGAGGGTGAAAGCCCAGCCAGCCATTTGCTTGTGTGTGATGTTGAAATGATAGCTTAAACCTCCCATGCCAGGTTTTCTTATATGCCGAAACTGACAGCTGTGGAATAAGGATGTATGGATGCCAGCATTTAGTGTCAGACTCCACTTCCCCCACCCCAGGGAAGACACAGGGACTATAGCAATGAGATCCTTACCCCTCCCTTTACCAAAGAGCTGAGGACACTTGTCTGGCCAGGCCTTAACAGGTGCCAGAGGTGCAGCTGTGTGTGAGTGTGTGCGTGTGCGTGTGTGTGTGTGTGTGTGTGTGTGTGTGTGAGAGAGAGAGAGAGAGAGAGAGAGAGAGAGAGAGCCAGCCAGAGGGCAAAGACCAGTGAATCAACCATGGACGTTTTGAATTATTAATGTCCTATTTTAATGGGGCCAGGGATGCATCCCATATACGGAAGGGCAACACAGTCTCTGCGACAAGTACCTCCTTGGGTCAGGAGTTGCATTGCAGTCATGTAGGCAACCTGGAGAGGAAAAGGCGGTGGGGGTGGGGGGTAAGGGAGAGGGTGCTGAGGCTCAGCCCGCACAAGTCCCTGAGTTGTGACCTGGCTCTGGCTGCACCAGGGTCTCCCCAGCTTGCTTTGGTCCGCTCCTCTGGGACCTAGGGATCTTTGATGTGGATTGGAGTTGGTAGCCTCGCCCTGGAGTACTGAGTGTGCGGTGCTTAAACTCCCGGGCTTAAAATTCGACCTTGCGCGCTTCTGTGTCCGCCGGTCTGGATCAGCTGCAGAGACCCCTGCTCAGCTATGACTCTCCACCGCCCAAGCTGAGTCCGAGTGCGCTAATGACAGCACGGGGTGTGGCCTTGGCTGGGCGGCGACCCGCGATCTCAGAGCTCGGGGGAGGAGCCAACTCCTCCCTTCCTCAGGGCCTTGGCTCCGTGGGGCGGGCCCGGGAGGAGCGTGGGGAGGAGCCGGGGCTGCGGCGGCAGCGTCAGAGCGGTGCTCCCGCTGTCCAGAGGCTCAGACCTAGCTCGCGAGCCGAAGATTAGCACCGGAGGCTCCTTTCCTGGGCTAAGGCTGCCGGACCATGGCAGACAAGGAAGCTGGCGGTGGCGACGCCGGGCCCCGAGGTGAGTGTGGGGCAAGGGACCCGCGGTTGCTGCGGTGGCTGTACTGGGCTGAAGGGCTGGGAGGGATGAGGCATGCTATATGTTGCAGCAGGCAGCCCAGTCGAGGGCATTAGAAAAGTGGACTCCTTGGTTCCGTCTTGCCATCTCCGGCCAGATCAGAGAGCTTCTGGGCAGGACACCGGGCCCACTGGGTGGGAGGCCGCCCTTCAGTCACGTGGTAGGTTCGTGCCGGGGTGTGGACTCTGCGACCAGGACTAAATCCTCAGCTGGGGAACCCTGGTTGTTTCCATCTCGAGCTGGCCCCTTGGTCAGGGCCGGGTATCGTTCCCAAGAGAACCGCCCCTCCTGTCCATCGCCTGAAGCACAGTGCTGGGGATGCTACTGCTGACCTGGTAGATGGCCGGCCGCCAGGTGGCCCCGGGTCCTCAACGGCTCGTTTCAGTGACTCAGTGAGGCAGGAGGTAAGATCCTTGGAGAAATCACATTTATAACTATCCTCTCTTTCCAGTCCATCCCTCCGGACACAGGAGCCGGAGTGGCGGCTGCAGCTGCAGGCCATAGGGTGTCCCACCGCTCTCCTCTCTCATTCTCTAGTATTCTCTGGGTTTGGGAATAAGAAATTACGGAGACTAGGCTGTCCGGTCCTTGTCAGAGGTGTGTGTGTGTGTGTGTGTGTGTGTGTGTGTGTGTGTGTGTGTGTGGCGTGGAGCCGGATGAGGGTGTCCCATGCGGAGTACTGAAACCTCGCTTCTTACATTTATTGTAGAGCGGCTCTTTTGGAGCATGGTTGCCGCTCAGATGGTGAGGGAGGGAGTGCCTGGGGATCCGGGAAGAGGATGAAACGCGTTCCCAGCCAGAGTTGTAAATCAAGGCTTTGCCCGCACAGGAGATGGGCTGGTCAGGATTCCAGCCTTCTTCCTGTGCATCTCAAGTGGGGAAAGTTGATTGCAGGAGGCGCTGCGCGTGTCCCTGACCTATAGGGCCTTGGCTAGAGTAGATGCCCGAGCCAGCTTCCCAGGAGCTCCAAGCAAGCTGCTGTGCAAGGATGACAGTAACAAGCCGGGATTTAAGGCGAAATCCAGTCTGGGGTGAGGGGAGAGCTCTGTGGTCTGCAGAGACCCAAGGCGGGGAAACTGAGGCCAGCAGCAGCGCAACTGACTGGCGTCGGCAGTTTTCTCTGCCCTGGTGTGGGTTGGCTACAGCCCCCTCTTCTGTTGCTCTCCTAGCCACACCTGCCCCCTCCCCAGCCCATTGTTCCTGCGGATCTGGGAGGTGCCTCCCCAGCCTGCAAGCACTGCAGTGGCTGAGGAGTGCAGGGTGGGGGCTGGGAGCTCACGGGAGGGGAGAGGCACAACCCCAGCCCAGGCGCCGCAACTCAAACAGGCACGCTAGCTGTGCCTCCTGTCCTGACCTTCCCTAGCCTGTGGACACAGGCCACGTTGGCAGTTGCTGGCAGTTGCTTTGTCTCAGCATCACTAAGCAATTGGATCGACTCATTTTCCCTCACCTTTCTTCTTTACATTGGAAAAGAAATTCCCAACATTTAGGATGATGGTGAGAGGTGTCACAGTTGCTTTAAGCTTGAGAGTAAGTGATCCAGTTTCCTGTCTCTCATGCTGAGATAACGAGTGGGTGGTTATACCAAATGCAAGAATGGGTATAAGATCTGTCAAGTCAGAATTGGAGGCAGGGATGTGCACCCACTCCCCAGCCCTGATTTGTCTTGTGAAGTCACCTTCCTGCTTCTATCCTACACACACACACATGCACACACACATGTACACACTTATACACATACACATATGCACACACACTTGCACTTGCACACACTCATACACATATGTACACACTCAAACACACATACACACACTCAAACACACATACACACACTCAAACACATATACACATATACACACATGTACTCACTCATATACATATATACATCTGCACATATGCACACACATACATATCATACACACACATGCATACATACTTCCACACATACAAACATGCACACACTCATACACATATATACACACATATGCACACACATATATATCTATGAACACATTCATATACCTATAAACACATATACACATGCACACACACATACAGACATATATATATACATCATATTTACACACAAGCACACATATACATATAAATACATATATACACATACATATACACACATATACATATATATACACATACACATATGCATACACACAAACTAACACACACATATATATACACATGTACACACATACACACAAACTAACACACATATACATATATATATATACATGTACACACATACACACAGCAAACATACATATACACACACACAGCTGGGACAGATCCACACTATGATGGGAAACATATCACTGCTCACCTCGGTTTCTTATAGGGTGTTTTTGGATTCCAAGGAGTTCAAGGCACTCTGGTACGGGAAACACCTGGAGCCTAGTCACCTGAAGGGCAAGTGTTCTGGCAACTCATTGTGCTTTTCTGAGCTGCCATCTCTTTATGATTTACAGGACAAATCAGTGCTAGAGAATGGGTGCACATCCCTGTCTCCAATTCTGACTTGACAGGGATACACACACACACACACACACACACACACACTAGGGAATAATAAGTTTTTAATAGGATCAGAGACCCATCTACTTCTAAGGTTTTGCCATTGTGTGTTCTTTGCCCAGTGATGAATATGTTCTCAAGTCTCATAATAAATATGTTATCTGCATTTCTTTTACTGATGAGAAATTTAAGCACCAAGTAAACAACCTGTCCAAGGTCACAGATCTAGGAAGCTTTGATTAGGATGCAGGCCATCTGATTCTACCTATTCATTGGTGTCATTGCTGGTCACCGTACTGTTAGGAATGACAAGGTAGTTGCTTTTCAAGGGATTATTTCAAGGATGCTCTTGAAGCAAATGAATAGGTGGATGGATGGATAGAAGGGTGGATGAGCAGATGGATGGGTGAATAGATGGATGATGGATGGACGGGTAGATAGATGGATAGGTGGATGGATGGATGAACAGGTGGATGGAGGGAGGGAAGGATGAATGGATAGATGGATGGATAGATGGATGGATGAGTGGATAGATGTGTGTATGTATCTATGGATGGATAGATGAGTAGATGGATGGGTGAATGAATGAATGAGTGGATGGATAAATGAATGGGTGAGTGAATGGATGGATGGATGGATGGATGCATACATGAATGGATGGATGAACA